GAGGGGTTTTGTATCTGTCAATCAGATTTAGTGACCAATGTCATTCCACTGCTGGTGCAAGGCAATATCCTGAGACAGATCCCATCCCTGATTGTTCCAAATTTGTAGGAAGGCATAATGATGTCTTAGAAATTGTCAACAAGCTGGATAACATGAGGAGTCAACATATCCTCTCGGGCATTTCAATGGTAGGCTTTGGGGGCATAGGCAAGACAACATTAGCGAAGTCAATTTGCAGTATGGTAAAAGAACAAAAGTTGTATGACCTGGTGGCTTGGGTTTGTGTGGCTGAGGAATTTGATGAAAAAAGAATATTAGGAGATATGTTAGAATACCTTGATAGTTCTGTTGGTCGAATGAATAATATAGGTGCACTTATTCAGGAGCTTGGGCAGAAGTTAGAAAATAGAAAATTTCTTCTAGTTCTTGATGACGTGTGGAATGAAGATAGAGGCAAGTGGGATAGTTTCAATTCTCGTTTGTTAAAAATTTTAAAAACCAGTGGAAACTCCATTCTTGTGACTACTCGTAGTGATAAGGTAGCATCCATAATGGAGGCACTTCCAATGCAAAAACATGATATGGTAAAGCTATCAGATCATGAATGCTGGTTGATAATTGAGGACATAGTTCTCAGATCATCAACAGAAACTTCAATACCTTTGGATTTAGAAGGTATTGGACAAGAAATTGCCAAAAAATGTGGGGGGTTGCCATTAGTTGCAAGTGTAATTGGAGGAACATTGAGTCGTGAAATGAAGACAGATAAGTGGCAAGAGATCTTACATGATAAAGCATGGATTTTGCAAGATGAAAATAAGAAGATTTTATCTATATTGAAAATCAGTTTTGATCGTTTGCCTTCATCGTTGAAAAAGTGCTTCTCTTATTGTTCAATTTTTCCAAAGGATGCTGTCATTTTCATAGATGATTTAATTCAACTTTGGGTGGCTCAGGGGTTTGTTCACAAATCTAATGAAAGCCTTGTGGAAATGGAGGATATTGGTAATGAGTATTTCAAGGAGTTGTTATCTAATTCTTTTTTCCAAGATATTGAATGGGATTTGTATGGGAATATTGAATCTTGCAAAATGCATGATCTAGTGCATGATCTTGCATTGCTTGTTTCAAAAGGTAAGACCTTGGTTTGGGACACTAGTTGCAATTTTGATGTTCAGAGTTGTAGTACCATTCGACATTTGAGAGTCAAGTCCAAGGGAGAGGATCTTCTAACCATTCCAAGAAGTGTTGCTCAAAGGCTGCATTCTTTGTTTTCAGATGTTGATGTTTTTTGTAGCATGAAATCAGATCTCAAAAGCTTGCGATCCTTGAAATTAAAGGGAGATCGGGAAAAGTTGCCAGATTCTCTTGGCAAATTGAAACATTTGAGGTACTTTGACATCTCAGAAGCTTTTGTCAGTACAGTACCAAAATCCTTCTCCAAGCTTTATAATTTGCAGACTTCAAATTTTCTTAACCGTGGTCTTGAAAAGCTTCCCAATGGCATGGCAAATCTCATCAGCTTGAGGCATATCTATTCTAGTTGTCCAAGTGATATATCGATCCTGCAGTTAACTTCCCTTCGAACATTATCACACTTTGTTGTGGGCACAAAAAAGGGATGCCGGATTGAAGACCTTGGATGCTTAAGCCAACTTGGAGGAGAACTAGAGATTCGGAAGCTTGAACATGTCAGATCCAAATTGGAAGCTTCTAAAGCAAACCTGAAAGAAAAGGCAAAATTGCATCAATTGAAATTATGCTGGAGTAGTGGGAATGAAAGAGCAGTCGACCACAACAACAATGAAGAGGTTCTAGAAAGCCTTCAACCTCATTCAAATTTGAAAAGCCTCACTATCCATGGTTACAAAGGAAAGATGTTCCCATCTTGGATGGGGAATGATGTCAATAGTTCTGGTTCTTCATTCCTTCTTGACAACATGGTGGAGTTGCAGTTAACTAATTGCAATGAGTGCACGTGTATTCCGAGTTTGGGACTATTGCCTTTTCTCAAGGTCCTTTACATTGGAGGAATGGAAAATGTTAGAAGAATGGGCCACAAGCTTCAGCCTGGTGGAGCAGAATCAATCAAATTGTTCCCAGCTTTGAAAACACTCACTGTAGATTGCATGCAAAGGCTAGAAGAATGGGTTGAAGTTGTTGAGGATGCAGCTGTAGGGAGCCAAGGTGTGATCGTGTTTCCTTGCCTTGAGGATGTGCAGATTTCTGATTGTCCTTTGTTGGAGACTTGGTTGATGGGCGGATTTTCATTTCATCATAAGCTCTCTAAGCTGCGGATAAAGCGGTGTCGGAAACTGATGGCTATCCCTAGTTTGGATGGGCTCTCAACTCTTAAAATTTTTGACCTCATAGGCAATTATGGATTAACAAGTCTACCAATTGGGCTTGGATCCTGCATCTCTCTTCAGTTCTTGCGAATTGAAAGCTGTAGAAATCTGATGGCTATCCCTAGTTTAGATGTGCTCTCAGATGTGCTCTCAACTCTTACAAGGTTTGAGCTCATCGACAATAATGGATTAACAAGTCTACCAACTGGGCTTGGATCCTGCATCTCTCTTCAGTTCTTGCGAATTGGAAGCTGCCAACATCTGATGGCTATCCCTAGTTTAGATGGGCTCTCAACTCTTACAAGGTTTGAGCTCAACGACAATAATGGACTAACAAGTCTTGGATCCTGCATCTGTCTTCGGTTCTTGCGAAATGAAAGTTGCCGAAATCTGAACTCCATTCCAAGTATGAATGGGTTGACACCTCTTGAATACCTCTGCCTTTCTCGTTGGCATGGATTAACGTGTCTTCCAATTGGGCTGGACTCTTGCATTTCACTTAAGAAGTTGAGAATTGAATATTGCCCTAATTTAATTTCCATTTCTGACGATATCAAGAAATTGCGTTCTCTTAGTATTATTGTAATAGCAGATTGCGAAAATCTAAGGAGCCTTCCAGAGGGGTGGCTAGATAGCCTCACCAGCTTGAAGAAGTTATGCCTTGGTCCTTTTTGGTCGGAGTTGGAGGAATTCCCAGGGTTGACCTCCATTCATCAATTCCACCCCTCGCTTGAAGTATTGATCTTGTACGGATGGGATAAACTAAAGTCTCTGCCACATCAGCTTCGACATCTGACTGCCCTCAAGGAATTAAGGTTGAGGAATTTCAATGGCCTGGAAGCTTTGCCAGAGTGGTTGGGAGACTTCTCTTCTCTTCATCGGCTGGAGATTGGGAATTGCTCTAATTTGACTCATCTGCCTTCTATTGAAGCCATGCGAGGCCTCTCCAACTTACAATGTCTTCAAATTTTGCATTGTCCGAAATTGGAGAAAAGATGCGCCAAACAGAGGGGCCCCGAATGGTCTAAGGTCTCCCACATTCTCCAAATCGGAGACAAGTACATATCTTCCAGTGGTATGTTTAATTTCTGGAACCCTAATCCCTTCATTCCACAGCATTTAAGTATTATGCTAATCAGAAATTTAACGACTGTAAACCATTTCTTTTTAATCTTTTACTTTGGAAAAAAAACACGTCCTCTCCTCTAAAACATATTATATTATTCAAATAATCAAGTCGTAGTCTTTGACCAAATTTCGGTGATTCATGCAGGTATAAATTTATGGTTCTAAATATTTATGCGCATCTGCTCAGGCCTCAGGGTTCCTCTAAAGCTAGTGAGTTCCTGAATTCCTTTCTGCAATCCTTCTGTTCATTTTTATTTTCATTCCAATTCCATAGCTATGTTTTTTTACCAATAGGTCCTTTGTTATTTTCATAATTCTTTGAGTAGCCATGGTCTAATTGTGAACTAATGCATAAGCAAATGCTTAGATTAGCCAACTGTAAATCTCTAGAGTAGAAGACTGGCAAGACTAACAATCAAAAACTTTCATTTTTGGGTCTGCTTTCTTTTCTCTATAAACCAACTTTTAGATTTTGAGTATGATTTTTTTTTCTTTTGTGTTTTTCTTTGTTCAATTCAGTTTTGTTCAACTATGTTCCTTAAAATAATTACAGGCAATCTAATTTTCCTGATCTGAAACCAAAAAAATATCACAATGAGTGGAGGGAATTTTCACACTAGGGACCCAACCAGATGAGTAGTCCTCTCTTTGAATTGTTGAGGCTCATAAACAGATTTAGCTATTCTACAGCCATGTAGTTTTCAAATTATGACCACATTTTGTGGTGCAAGTTTACTGGTATTTAGACATTTGTCTTGCTGATCAAAGTCTTGTCCTGTCTCGGACTGCCAGTTTAAGTGGTCTGCCCTACAAAGGTCGGTTGTGAAACTAAAGATCATCTTTTAATTAAGATTTTATTTTATATTGGCAGGATTTTACTTCACTTTAGTGATTATGATTCACCAATAAAAGTTACATATAAGTTTAGCAAAAAGGATATTCTTCTTTACTTGGTTAAGGAATGATCTGTAAAGATCTATATTGACACATTTTCAATCATGGTTGTTGAAATTTCTTCAGGGTTACCGTGCCAAATGCCTGATCTGTTGTGCAAACTGAACTGTTATTTCTTCAGTGGCTCTCTCTTGTTAGAACCTACACCAGAGTTTCTCTAGGTTTGTCTTGTTACTTTGAAGTCATATGTGCCTTTAATCAATTTATAAATTTGATCAGTTTAATTTCATATTGAATCATAACTTTAAGCAAAGAATTTATTCCATTTCAGGTTAGAGATTATGGTGTTTTTGCGACTTGCTACTTTGCAAACTGTTAATGATGAAATCTGGAGTCTGGACTCCTTATGACTTTGTGAACTTCAACATTTTGAGAACATGCTTTTCCCATTGACAAGAGCACTGCGGCTTCACTAGCATAAACCATGGCTGCAGTCCTTTCAATTTTTCTTGAAACGTACAGATCCTGGTGCCATAGATTATGTGTACACACATTTTGCAGTAGTGAGGAAAGCATTGAATTTTACTTGGAATTAACCAACAGATCAACTCTTCCACCAATTCTTAGGCTTTTGTGGTTTTATGGTAGATTATCTCATTCAATTGCCAACAAACATATTTTATACCTTGTTTGAATAAATTCTCTGTACAACTTTGAGTTTGATGATGTAATAATGGACATGCAATCATCAACTGGAGTGAAGAGAAGAAATTGACAATGAGATCCCTGTGCAAGTGATTGCTCGTAAACCGGTCTCAATAGCTTCAATGTGGTTATGATAGAATTATAACTTTGTATGTTTTCCCCTTTAAAAGGCATTCCAATATTTTCATCTTGCTTTGTCGATGTAATTGATGGAAATGAGTAAAAAGGCCAACCATCAGCATCTAGGAATCAATGATATTGAACAGATTGAGATGCTTTGTTTCAGGGATTTATCAAACAATGGCTTAATCAGTGAAGTGCAAAGCTTCTGTCTCAGCTAGTCTTATTGAAGAAAATGTAAGTGCCAAGTGTATTTTGAAGGGTTCATTTCTTCTTTCCCCAATTTCTTTTATTTGGTTATACTTATACATATAATGGACTTTCCCAATTTCTTTTATTTGGTTATACTTGTACATATAATCGACTCTTAGTGAAAGAAGGGATTATGATGACAGACACTGAAGGCACAAATTGGATAAAATGAGCTCTCTTTTGTTCTTATTCACTTGTGCTTTGTCCTCTTACTTTTTAATACATGTGTTCTTAATAGATTACTTATGAATTGATAACTTGGGGTTTGCAGTCAAAGTTTAGCTTCTTAGTAATTCTATTTTAGTGGGAGCTTCTGATGTACTCCTTGTCTTCTTACTCTGCTAATATCTAGGAGGTGATGGGGAATGCAATGAAAACAGAATGATTGGAGCTGGAATTCAGTATATTTCAGTGTTTATTAAAGCTGGTAAGTCCTTGTCCTCCAAATTCTTTCTTTTCTTCACACTAATTACATTTTCTTCAGGTTGCTTTGTTCTAACTTATTTTGTTTCATTCTTGTTTCTGACATATTTCGTCATACTGCTCATATTACTACCAGGAAAACGTTTACAAGAATGCATGTAGCAGTTCATTTTTTTCGTTTTGATTCATGTCTTGAAGCAGATGCGAACAAGATTATATGCTTCACTTTCTAAAATGCAAGGAGTAGTTAGAGATAGAGAATGTGAATGAGAAAAAAAGACATACATCAAAAGAAAAGGTAGCGATTATGAAGCACAAATTAAACTGTGTTGATTTGCATTTCATTTATTTTGATTTGATTCGTTTCTAAAGAATAAGATGAACCTTTGTTTCTTCAGTGCCTCTGTTCTTTACCTTGGAAAGCTATGGCAGAAATCCACTAAGGCTCATAAAGTGTCTTCAAGTGGACGCTGTAATATGTTTCATTGTCTGAACCTGTGCCTGTTTCATTCTCATTTGTTCTCCATTTTCTTGTTGTATTACTTGTTTTCCCTTTGCTCTTGCTGTTATTGTGATTGTTTGAAGATGATTTTGTAACACTCTCTTGATATATAGTAGAGCTATTTTTTATGGACTAATAGTCCCGTAGTTTTTACTCTTCTATTTGAAGTCTCTTATGTATGGTTGTTTGCTTTAGCCATTCTTATTTGTTTACGTATTTAGTTGTTGTCATATTTGTTAACCTGAAAAAGGAACTGATTTTATAAACCTTTCAAGTTTCAAGTGTCCGCTGCCATCTTGAATCACATTTCCAGATATGGGCCTAATAACAACATTCATCGGTAAATATTTCCGAAGCAAAGCCTAGAGGGAGCTTTGTTGAGTATTACCTTATTAGTCTAAGATTCTGTCTACCACAAGCAAAATAGAAAATACCCTGAAAGAAAATATTTTTATATAAAATGATTTATATATAAGATGAATTCAGGTGGTAAACTCTTAGAGATAAAGAGTTGGATCAAGTTATCTGCACTAAATTAATAATTCTTAAAGTCTATTAACTAAATAAATTAATAATAATATCTTTTTAATAGAAGTAAGATTTTAAATTTAAATTATATGATATATGAATAAGATAAATTGATAATGAAAGAGGGTTGCTTCAAATCAAAAGCAAAAAAAAAAAAAAAAAGTTAATTTTTAAAAATAAGTTTTGTGTGAAGAAGATAAACATAAATATTTCTTTTCTCATTGGCAATAACAATATGAAAAAAAATTTGCAATATGTAACTGTACTAAAACTAGTTGGTTTTAATAAACATTTTTAACTCCTACAAAATAAATATTTTTAACTTTATTTGAAAATTTCATAATTTTAATAAATATTATTCAAGCCTGCCCAAAAACTAAAAGATTTTCTCTACCCATATATATATGAATTAAGATTTATTTATAAACAACTTTTACATATTTTATTTATATAAAATTTTAAATATGTATCCTTTTATTATGAATTATTAGAACTTATTCACATTTTATATTATTTTTTAAAGATAATATTTATATATGTATATATGTTACATAAATGTCGTTTTAACTAGAAAAACTTCTACACAAACATTTTTAATAAGACTTACCTTCCATGTTTACTTATTATTAATATTTTAATAAATTCTATATTTAAACTTCTTTTTTTTTAAGTTTGTATTGAAAAACAACAAATAGTGCGGAATATTTTCTGGGTATTTTCTGACTATTTTCTGGCGCAGAGAGATCAACGTCGTGTTCTCACCGGAGAGAATTGCGAGGATGAGGCCGTCCAATGCGAGAAGTGAGGACTGAGATTTTGCTTTTCGACTATTGGATGCCTGAGGTGGGTTTTAAGGCCCAGTATTTGTTAGGCTTGAATTTTTTTGGAACAAAGGGCCTGATTAGGCCCTGGTTTGGAAAGTCCATTTCACTTGAAAGATGAAATTTTTTTTATCTATGATTGTGGGCCTTAAAGAAGAGCACAAAGTCCAATTAAAATCCCACTAAACCCCCCCAAAAAAGGATAATTATCCAGGTTACCACAGCAGCGTTCTTTACAGTGACAATCCCCGATAATCTGAACAGGGGCAGTGCTAGGGGCACTCGCCTCCTGCACTCTCCGGCCGACACTTCCCCTTTCATTGGGCCACGTTATTTTAGTTTGTGAGAGGTTACACTTCAAAGCCTAAACAACCTTACGTGGCCCAATGAAAGGGGAAGTGTTGGCCGGAGAGTGTAGGAGACAAGTGCCCCTAGCATTGCTCATCTGAACAGATGATTAGTAGTTGGTAAATTATTTAATTAAGTATTGAAATAACGTTAATTCATTAATTATTTTATAATTTAATCTTAAATATTTTTAATAAA